TGTTTCCTTCCCCAAATTAGGGAAGTTCTCTGCTATAATTTGCTCCAATATACCTTCTGCCCCTCTCTCTCTTTCTTCTTCTTCTGGGATCCCAGTTGTTCTGATATTGTTTCGTCTCATGGTATCACTTATCTCTCAAATTCTGCCCTGGTGATCCAGTAGTTATTTATCTCTCTTTTTCTCAGCTTCTTTATTTTCCGTCTTCTTTATTACTAATTCTCTCTTCTGCCTCATTTATCCTAGCAGCTAGAGCCTCCATTTTTGATTGCACCCAGGAGCAGTCTTTTAATTGGTTCCATAAAGAGATGATGGATTTTACTTACAACTTATTTACACCCCTAGTACTAGCAATTAGACTTCTGTTAGGGACCTTTTAAAAATTTGTTTTATGTAAAAATATTTTATATCATTTTTTAGGTGTTTTTGTGTATATGACCATGAGTAAAGCAAACCAGACTGTATGGTGATAGAGATATATAGCCATTGCTTAGCTCACTCAGTAGCCCAGTGACTTGATTTCCCAGCTTTACAGCATGTGCAATTAAAGTTTGTGTCTAAGAAAAATCAGAATTTTCACATGTCACATGCATATGGGGTTATTCACAAGAGCTGAAGATGCAAATCTTAATAACAAAAGCCTACTCTAGGATGACCTGCAAGTAGGTCTTGATGTGAAAAAATAATAGATGAGGCATATATACCAAAATGTTAACATTTGTCAAGTGTAGTGATGGGTATAAATGATCATTATACTAGTCTCTGTACTTTCCTATATATTTAAAGCTTTTCATTATAAAAAGTAAACCTGGAAGAAGGGTATAATGCTTTTTATTGTGATCAAGACCTCTAGATTTTTAGGTGTACTAATGTCAAGTTCTTTGTTCAAAAGACTTGTTTAAATTTATATAATTTTCAAATATTTTAGTTCTGGTGTTCTTTTCATCCTAGTAATTTAAAAAAATTTATTCAATTGTTCTAGCATAAATATACCTTATTATTATTATTTTGTTGTTGTTATTAAACTTTCACATTCTCTGATGCAGGAATATTTTGAACATTATCTTTGAAATTAAAGAAGTTCTAATAGTATTGTCATATAATTGCTTCCCCCTCATATACTCACTATTTTTGAGGCTTCATAAATTCCATTTATCCTCATTTTCTTTTTCTCATTAAAAGCAAACAGCCCCTGCTGTTTAGTTTGTAACTCACATTTGAGCAGGAAAAGTGCAGAGGACTCATTCTTCCATTTTTTGTGGATAAGTTTTATGAATTTTATGTTTAGTGTTTCATTTTATTATCTTGGTGTTGCAATTTCTGCTATTGGCATATCTATCATTATATGTTTTACATATAAAGTGTCTGAACACTGTGTGTAGATAGGTAAGAACTGTGTGCTCAAGAATCTTCTATTATAAATGATGTTTAAAATTTAGATGAAGGGTGGGGCACCTGGTTGGCTCAATCGTTAAGTGTCTGTCTTTGGCTCAGGTCATGATCCCAGGGTCCTGGGATTGAGCCCCGCATCAGGCTCCCTGCTCAGCAGGAAGTCTGCTTCTCCCTCTCCCACTCCCCCTGCATGTGTTTCCTTTCTTGCTGTGTCTCTCTCTGTCAAATAAATAAATAAAATCTTAAAAAAAAATTTAGATGAAGGGTATTTTCCTGATGGACCCATTTGATGCCATCTCTGAGCCTTCTTCTTTGGAGTTACAGGTACTTTTTTTTTTTTAAGCTTTGAATTTCAACTTCTTTTTTTTATTTTTATTTTTTTTTAATGTTTTATTTATTTATTCATGAGAGTCAGAGAGAGAGAGAGAGAGGCAGAGGCAGAGGGAGAAGCAGGCTCCCCACCTAGCAGGGAGCCCGATGCGGGACTCGATCCCAGGACCCCGGGATCATGACCTGAGCCGAAGGCAGACGCTTAACCATCTGAGCCACCCAGGCACCCCGGTTACAGGTACTTTGTAGACTTGCCTTACTGAGAGTGGGAGAGACCCCTCCTTGGCTTATTTTTATTAGACTCTTTTTGATATACAGATAACACATGTAATATGAATTCTGACATCCCAGGTTACCAGCAAAGTAAAGATATTAATTTCCATAAGCCACATATCATTGATTTAATTAAGTCATAATTACACCTCATACCTAGGACATACAGTACACTATTCAATAGTTATTTCTGGGGCACCTGGGTGGCTCAGTCAGTTGTCTGTCTTTGGCTCAGGTCATGATCCCGGGTCCTGGGATCTTGCCCTGCATTGGGCTCCCTGCTTAGGAGAAAGCCTGCTTCTCCCTCTCCCTCTGCCTGCCACTCCCCCTGCTTGTGCTCTCTCTCTCTCTGTGTCAAATAAATAAATCTTTAAAGAAATAGTTGTTATTTCTGGTTTTATTTATTTTATCACCATTAAAACATCTTTTATATATTTTATATTGTCCTAGAAATTAAGAGGCAACCTCCTTGTAGGAATGCCATTGACCTTACCTGTTCTCCCATCCTGATTTGCATCATAGTTAAAAGCAGGGTCTCAAAATCTCAGGCACATAACTGTGGTTATGTAATATAGCTGTAGGAACTTGGACAAGGTGCTTAACTTCCCTACCTCTCTATTTTCCCTGCTTTCTTCTCCTGCTCCCTCTGCCCCTCCCCACTCGTCTTTTCTCTCTCTCTCTATCTCAAATAAATAAAATCTTTATAAAAAGATAATCTTGAACTATTAATCCTTAAAATCACCTTCACCTCTAAAATTGTATTTTTAAATAAAAATTTAAATTTAGATGTACAGAAAAGTTATAGTACAGAATTCTCTTCACCCAGTTTCTCTTGTTAACATCTTGCATTACCTTGGTACATTTGTCAAAACTGATGTCCTTTTTCAGTTCCAAGAACCAGTCTAGGATGCTACATTGCATTTAGTAAAATTTGACTTTAAGATAAAAATGTTACACGATTTTATGTGTGGTTAGAGTTTTGAATATTATAGGATATTGGTTATTAAAACTATAAATATATGATGCAATTCACTTAATATATTTCAATTTTAGGTTTCCATGGCACATGGAATACAAAATTTGATTAATGCCATCAGAATGATTCACAGTGTGTCACGGTATTATAACACCTCAGAGAGAATGACTTCATTGTTTATCAAGGTAAGTTTCCAAGGGAAGAAATCATACATGTAACCCTGTGAAAAGTTAACAATACTTTCCCTCTGGCCAGGGAAGGGAAATGGGAAGTTTGGGTGCCTCTCAGAGTTCTGGATTTGACAGAACAGTGGACAAGAAAAGAAAGGTGTTGACTGGTCAGTTCTACTTAATTGAAGGTGTACCTTCTTGTCAGAGGTAAGCCCTCAGGCTTTTTGTTTAAATGTAGCTGGTGCTTTTCTTTCTTTCCTTTGTTTTCTTTCCTTCCTTCCTTCTTTCCTTCCTTCCTTCCTTCCTTCCTTCCTTTGAGAGAAAGAAGTGGTGGGGAGGGGCAGAGGGAAAGGGGGAGAGAGAATCCTAAGCAGGCTCCACACTGAGCATGGAGCCCGACATGGAGCTCGATCTCACGACCTGGAGATCATGGCTGGTGCTTTTCTAATTTATTCATTCCAAATAGTTTTGCTCAAGAGCCAGGAATTGTGTGCATGATTGACAACACTTCTTTAGCTACTCCCACCAGCACTGTAATTTGTGTAAAATCTTCCTCTGTTGTGACATATGGTTCATTACTTAAATAATTTGAAAAAACATCCAAGAGACACATAAATAAAATTTCTTTGTAATTCAAGCAGAACATAAATATATAAAGTAATAGTCACATCTCAACTCTCTTTTTAAAAAACTAATCAATAGATTTAATCATTATCCATCTCTTAAACAGGGGAAGAATGTTAGGATTTTTCCCCATCACTTGTCTCTTTCTTGCTCTATATGTCTCACGCTGAGATTTCTTGTTCTACATTTTTGTTAATAATTTTAAACTATTTTGTCTAATTGTTAATATTATGAATCCCCATGTGTTCAGAATAAAATCTAAGCATTGCTAGTTTCTTTGATCACCTCTCTCTTGTGATTTCTACATCTTCCTCCATCTTGGATTCATTATTTCTTTGGCTGAAAAGTATTCTCAAGTGGTTCTTTCAGAGATGGTCTGTATGTGGTGAACCTCCTGAATTCCTGCATGTCTGAAAATAGCTTAATTTTGTCCTGCTACTCAAATGTTAATTTCAGTGGGATTCCAGGTTCAACATAATTTTCTCCTGGAAACTTGAAGTATTGTTGTCTCTTATCCAGTACTGTTGATGAGAAATTTATGCTAATATGATTCTTTTTCCTTTGTAGGCAACCTGTCTTATTCTTTCAAGAAGTTTTTAGGATTTTTTCTTTATCCTTGAACTTGTAAAATTTCAAAGTGATGTGGTTCTTTTTACATTTATGTTGTTCTATACTTGCTGGATTGTTGCAATCCAGAAACTTTCGTCTCTATTCCTGGGAAATTTCCCTCGTTTTTCCTTTGAGTATTCCTTACCTACCTGTTCAGTTTATTCTGTCCCCTTGAATTTAACTTCCATTTCTCTTAATGTTTTGTTTTGTTTTGTCAGTTTCTGTCCTTTGACCTTTCAGCTCACTCTTTTGTTCTTCGTTTATGTCCCAGTTGTTGGTCAGTTCATCAATAGAATTTTTTTATTTTGATAATAAAAATTTTAATTTACAAGTTCCCTAGTTGTTTTTTTTTGTGATGTAAAATACTCATATCTTTCTCATGTAGTTAATAAAAGATATCTTAAAATATTTTATATATCTTTTTTTGTATTTCCTCTGTTGAGTTTAAAGCCTCTGTTACCATGTTTCTTTTCTTTTTATTTTTTAAAGATATATTTATTTAGGGCGCCTGGGTGGCTCAGTTGGTTAAGCAACTGCCTTCGGCTCAGGTCATGATCCTGGAGTC